TTGGAGGGAGTAACTTGAAGCAACACACAGAGCCTGACTTCAGCATGCTGTCAGTCTGTCATACTAACAGAGACCATAAATCTGATAAGCAGCTGGAAGTTATAATCTTCTGTGCTTGGTTACTCCAAGAATATTTCTGAAATGCAGTAATGCTTTTTGTTTCCAGATTAGTTTAGTGCTGAGCAAAACCCTATGGAAAATTCCAGTATTTCAACATGTAGGGTATTTTTTTCCTCCTAAAATGAATTCCTAGTCAAAATATTAATAGTAATTGTGGAAAAAAGAGTCCTGATTTTTTTTCTGTGGCGAATCTGGACTCTCCTTCACCAGGTCCTCCAAGGAAGGCCTACTATCTTCTCAGTGTCGAAGGACTCCCATGGCACTGCAGGCCTTGCAGTCAGATGCAAACTGAGTCAATTTAGAAATTGTTTGGGACAAAAGGCACCAGAGATAAGTAATGTTTTCAAGAGGGTCAGAAGCACAGATCTGGCTTCAGTATGAAGCCCCAAATATTCCAGCCTGCCTAGAGTGTGCTGGGCCCACCCGAACTAACAAGGAGGAATGGGTGGTGACCTGGGAAGTTCTGCACAGCCACTGTGAGCTCCAGCCACCTTCTATTAAGATGGACACACCGAGAGATGTCACTCCAGATTTCTAGGAACAGCCAAGTAAACTTGAAGACATCTTCTGTTGTTTCCATGTCATTGGGTACCTTCAGGATCAGAGTTTCAGGAATAGTGAGATTTTAGCTACTGTAACAGCTGTCTGGCTTGGTGTGGCATGGACCGTTAGAGCCTGGATGAGATGGATTTACATAAGAAAATACGTATTCCGTGTAAGTTTGAAGCCCAGGATATTCTGCCAGATGTGTGCCACCAGATTCACTCCAAGAGCAGTCAGCCCACTTCCTCTGAATTCATGTTCTGCCTCTCAAAATCAGTCTCTTTCCACCTGGTCCTGTTTGTTCCCTGCTTCTTGTATGGCATTGTCCAGCATCTTCCCTGAGCTGTGAAGCCTGGCTTGGCTGGTCTCACTGTATGTTTGGCCTCTGTTGTGATGGCAAATGCTGACTTGCTTCCAAGTATATCTGCTGTTGTGACTACTATCATTCCAGCTTATTTTAGGGATCACCAGCTACTCTCCTCTGTGCCTGCTTTTATTCCCAGAAATTATTTGCAGGACTAAGCTGAGATTTCCTTGTTTCCATGGTGTTGCACTTGATCTAATCAACCATTGCAGACCTAAAGTGTCCTTTCTTTCAACCTCTCTCCAGCCTATGGCTCTAGGGGAGCACACTGATGCAAAAACAGGTGGCGTATCAAGAGATAAATAGTCATTATGTGCCAGTGATTACAAGCCTATAATGAATAATTAGATGTCAGCAGAGTAGAATTACAGTGGGTTTAAAGGTACTATGTTTGCTTGTTTGTTTATATGGCTGCTTGTGACTGTGAGGAAGCAAGCAGTCAAATACACTTTGGCCAGGCTAGTGAAGGAAAAAGAGCTGCCATTTGTGCATTTTTTGTCATGGCCCTGCACAGCCTGGATAGTGCATGAAAGAAGCTCTCTAAGTACTGCAGAAGCCAGGCTGTGACTGAAGATCCTAGTCTGCTTGCCTGTCAGTCTATTTGCTGCTACTTTGGAGGAAAACCATATTCTGTAAACTGGTGTGACTTATGCCATGCAGGAGCTAGAACCTGTGCTTGCCATGGCTGGGACTAAATTTTTCACTTAATTTTCATACCTCCAGCTGATCTATTTATGTTAGAAATTGTGTTCAGTCTGTATTCACTGTCCTACCAAATCCTCCTTTGAAATCAGTGTTAAGCTGTCCTACCATTAAGGACTGGTGGGCTATCCCTTCCACACAGATGTTAAAATAGATAATGTCCATCTATGTTGCTCACTATGTATGTCCTAGGGAAAAGCAGGCATAGCTTACGGTCCCCCTTTTTCAGGGAATAGAAGAGAAAGGCTTCTATACTAACAAAATCCATCACCCCAACACAGCCTGCCTTCCACTCCTTTGTAAGACCACTCTTTTGCAAGCAGTCTTGGGATTCGTTGTTCCTTCAACTCTTTTTCAGATGCTCATGTGAAACCCAAAACTCTGTCTGAAGGCCAGAACCCAATCTCAGCTACATCAAATACACTTGGAAGTAATCACATGAAAAAGGGGGACTTGATTCCAAATAAAGCCTGCTACATCAAGGTCAGTGTCAGCCCATGACAGACCCAAAGGTTGAGAAGAGCAGGTTGTGCCAGTTTCAGACTACCTTTCATTGCTATTTCCCAGGGAAATCTTTACCTTACCTTATGGGATTACTGTGTTGCACAGACATTAAATTAAAATCAAGGTTTTGTCTGTGTGTTCATACCCACCTTTGCTCCTTGCTTTTCCTAACTTCCTAACTTCTGGCTTGGTTCTTTCATCTCAGCTGCTTTTTACTTCTAAACCAATGGACAGTGAGTGACACACCTTGGGTAGACAGTGGTGGAAAGAGCTGAGATGACTCATCAGACTGCAGGCCAGTTTTTAGGGCTTTTACTATGCTTAGATAATATTGCAAACTATGGAAAACTTGCCATCCAAAGGGGCTACAGAGACAACCCAGAGACCTTCCAATGCATAGTCAGACTTCACTCTAGCCATGAGCACTCACTGTGCCTGCTCTGGCAAAAGCACAGTCTGGGACAGGGCTTAGTCCCTTGCTTGCCAAAGTGTTTTATGATCAAATACCAGACAAAGTGGAGATGCCTCAAGGATGGCCCACACAGCTGCAACCTGGGCCTCAAATGATCACCATACACCCTGCCTGGGGCAGGCTGATGTGCTGTCATGTACCAGGGACAGACACATCAGGCCTGCCCATGGCTTGTCCCAGGACAGTCTGCAACTCCCTTGCATTTTCCCATAATTTTATTTGCTTGCAATTGAAGATACCTTGCAGCTGTCCCAGAGAAACACCCAGTGCATTCTGGACCCAAAATCTGGTGCAGAGTTCTTGTTATTGTAATAAAAGGGATCCCTTGGATGGCCATGCTTCCATGTGTACACAGAAGATGTTATGACACCTAGGCTTACCATTCTGGGCTGTATCTGTACAGGATGCAGGTTTTCTTGCACTATATCTTCATTCCATCACAAAGTACTCCTGGTTTACTCCAGCAGATGTTCAGGGTAGGAGTTCATTCAGGAGCTTTTCTACACCCCTACTGATCCAACTCCCATTACCAGCAGTTTCCCTGAAATACATTTCTAATTTTATTTGAGATTTTTAGAAAAGTGAATGCCTCCTAGTCTTGTCACTGAGCAACTACTGTGTTGCACATCATTTGTGTAGGGATATTTGTATAGGCAAATGAGCTGCACCCCACAGCCTTATCCAGAGAGGATCCTCAAAGTCCTTCTGAGCTGAGCTCATTCCACAGGCTCTGTAGCACACATCTGTTTATAATGTGTATCTATTATTTTTAATTCTAAATTAGCATATTTTAATATTAAATGCTCCTTCCAATTTTTTTCCAGTCAAAGGAAACAAGACTGCTTGGCTCAAGTTCTTTGTTTCACTCATTATTTGAAGATTATTGTGCAAGGGAAATTAATATATTTGAACTACATCTAGATCCAAATTTCTATGTTTCTGACCCACTTAATGTGTTTCAGTCTTCTAAGAGCACTTCAAGATATGAACTGCAGTTCTTGGGGACTGGATCTTGGGAAAGATAGTGTTTGGGATTTTTTTTAGTAAATATATTAATGTGCTGGGCTATTTTGTAACAATTCTTCAGCTTAGATTTCTTGAGTGTAAAAAGGACGAGAGAGGTATAAATACCTGGCTACAAGTTTGCACTTCCAAATGTGCTTCCCATTTACCTTCTAAGATTTTCTTGACAATTTTCTTCCCAAAGGGCTGTTTTGCAGCGTACACAGCTCCCTGTGCCCTCGGACTGGAGGTGCCGAGCGTTTTGTCTCTGTGACAACCACTGCCGCTGTGCACTGCTGACCCACTCCTCCAAAATGAAATGATTCTATGATTGAAAATTCATTTTAGGTATAGAAATTGCAAGGATTTGATGGGGAGGGAGGCAATTCCAGAATGTGAGGCTGTAAGGGGCCGGAGGTGTGGCGCTGAGCCCCGCAGTGAAACAGGAGCGGGAGCCAGGTGCGGCCCTACAGCTTCTGGGGTTACGGTCACGTCGCCGCGCTTCTGCCGAGCCGTTCCGAGCCGCTCCGTGTCCCGGCCCGGCGGCCCCGCGCTGCCCTCTGGCGGCACGCGCGGAGAGCGGCCCCGCCGCGCCCCTGCCCCGCCCCGCCCTCGGCCCCGCCCCCGGCCCAGCCCC